TCGGAAAGGGTACGACCGTCTTCAAGTTGTTTACCAGCGAAAATAAGACGTTGCTGGTCTGGTGGGATACCTTCCTTGTCTTGAATTTTTTGTTTAACTTGGTCAATAGTGTCAGAAGACTCAACCTCAAGGGTGATGGTCTTGCCGGTAAGAGTTTTAACGAAAATTTGCATGTTGTTTAGATATTAACGTTGATAAAATTCTTTGTTGTATTTCTCCTTTCTAACGAAAATGACAAAAACCTAGTTTTTGTTTTTTTTTATTAATGAAAATGAAGTGAACCTGAGAAAACCTACAAGAAAAAAAAATGGTCCTTTTTATATTGTTTCTGCGATCAAAACAAATCTGTTGATTACTAATTGCTAGTTATTGTTCCATTGCACAGCAATTGATATCAGCTGCGATAAGGGAGAAACTAGATCAGTCTAGATAGTCGGCTGACGCAAGGGTATTACAAATCAACAAAGAATTTCCATTCAAGTCCATATTACCTTATCACATTATGTCATTGTGCAATAGTTTAAACTTTTTAGGGGATTGCCTGATTTAAACAACATAAACGTGCGAACCAAGGATTGGACGTTTAATCGGAGTAATAATATGTATATAATAGGAATTGCTCAGCCTCATGTTCGCACCGCAGCGTGGCACGAGTAGGTAGTCCTACATTTATGTAACAAATAATATTGTGTAAACAATACGTTTTTATTTACATAAGGGGTAACAAAAGAACGCTTGGAAGGCTTTACGAGTACCGATTGTATTTAATTAAACCACATCATATTACGTATATGATAAATAGACTTAGCTACTCGTGCGTTCGGTTAAATTTAACTACCAGTCCGTAAAGTAGTCGATTAAATTAAGCATCAGAATGAATTAATATTAAAATTAATACTACTCGATCGATCATATTATTTATTCCTATGGTATTCTGTAATTTCAAAAATAGTAATAATGTTTTTTTTTTTTTTTTTTTTTTTTTTTTTTTTTTAACTAGGAAAGCTTACGCCTTGTTTATTAGATATTTGTATTTAGGTACATTAAATTCATTTTATACAAATTTTTTTCCCATTATCTATCTAACAAACTCGTTAAAGAAGTATCTTACCACGCGGCTTATTGCCAAATACTAATATATACTTAGCTAATTTGCCAAGGCTCTACTAGTCCTGATTAAAGTTGTTGTTAAAAGAGTATATTGTGTTCCAGTTGCACCAGTTCAATCTGGCGAAGTCTATAATTTTGTTAGCTTCTCGGGTAATTACTGTTTCTTTTCCATTGTTTGTTTTTCTCCTTTCTTTACTTTGATGCCACATTCTTTTGTCATTTGGGATGATATTGTTATCTGTCTCCCACTTTGCAAACTCTGCACATCATAGTTTCCAGTTATTTTCCAAGAGTTTGAGGAGTCTATTGAAGATTTGTTTTATGCATTGTTGGTTATCTTGCGTTGCATACTTTTTGATTATTTGTATTGTACTCTGTAGCAGGGCTCCTCTGGCTACATAGTAGAGTATTTCATTGGTCCATGTGTTTTGATCTTTCTTTAGATCTTTGTTTAGTTTACTTTTAATTTTTGTTTTGTTTCGACTGCTTACTTCTTCGTTAATTATTTGATTAAGGTTTCTTAAGAGTTTTGGTTTTTTGTCTTTGCAAAGCATACTATGAGTGTTGGTTTCTGTTATTTGATCGCACAGTGGGCATCTGTTGTTGGTGTATGTCATTGCTGCTCTTTCGTGGAGTTTGTCTTTGGTTGGGAGTTCAAGGTTCCAAATTTTGAAGCGGAAGGTGCGAGTGTTGTGATCCTCTCTGTTTGTTTCTCCTGTGGTGATTCTGGATGGATGTTTATGCCTTAGTGATTCTTCCCAAGCGATACTTTCTCTGGTGGTGGGGTTGGTAGTTGTTAGGTTTCTGTTAAGTGTTTTCCATTCAATGATATGTTTTATTTTGTTAATGTCTTTGATCGTTTGGGACATTGTATTGTCAATGATGTTTCCTTTCCATTCTGGTATCTAATTGGTTTCCTGGTTGTGTATCGATAAGAATTTTATTTCAGCTTCGTGTGTTGCATTGCAGGCTTCTTTGGTTAGTTAATCGGCTTTGTCATTTCCTGCGATAGAACTGTGTGCTTTGATTTTTTGCCATGTGACTGATAGCTTTTGTGTTTCTATTATGTTTATGATTGTGTTAATTATGTTCGCGTTTTTCATTATTCTGAGTGTTTGAGAGTTTGATTGTACTCTCTTGATACTATTGAAAGCAACTTGGCTATCGCTGCAAATTGTAATATTTGCTCCAGCTGGCATCGTTATGAGTGCTGTGGCTATTGCTGCTAATTCTGCCCTTGTTGATGATGGATATGATGTGATTTTCTCCTGGAAGTTGATTTCTTCTATGCCTTCGATGTGCCATCCAAAGCCCATTGTTTGGTTAGTATTCATTGATCCGTCTGTAAAGACTGTAAATTTCTTAAGTTTTCCGATTTTTGTTCTGATCTTTGATAGTTCGCTTTGTTTTGTATCACTTGTTTGTAGATATTTGTTGATTATTAACTTGTGGTTTGTGTTTCTGTTAACTGTGATTGTGGGTGGCGTTGGGATGTTGTGGTTTTGGAATTTGTCTGCTATGATGTCGTTGGTACTGTTTGGAGAAATTCTGACTCTCTGTCGCAGGGATGTGTCTTCTATATTGCTTGTACTGATTTTGCTTTTATGAACTGGTATACATATTCCACTGTTTCTTTGTATTTGGAAAGTACATTCTCCTTGTTTTTGTGCAATGTCGATTATGCATCCTGGACATTCTTGGAGTGGGGATCGGTTGTCTATTCTAGTATAATGTTAAGCGAATATAGTGTTCTTGTTGATTGACTTCTTTCTTCCTATGACATTCTGTTTGTTTATGTTTGTGGTGATCCATTTGGTTTCTTTTTTTGTGACCTCCGCTGATGTTTTGTAACTTTGCTTTGTTGCGTGCTGTGTTTTTTGTCTTGTTTCGATTATTTCTTTAAGGGTTTTGCTTTTTTGAATTTCTTTAAACCAGTTTGGTTTTTTCCGGTTGGGTTTTTTATTGTGGTGTGTTATTTCTGCCCATGCAGCCAGCCGGGAACCTAAGAAGTTTGTTAATTGATTGATGAACATTATACGATTTTTTGCCAGTTGTTTTCTGTGGGTGTGATACCAGAGAGGTCCCATCGTTTCTTCTATGGTTGTATCAGTTTTAGGGATTGTTTTGAGGGATGCCGGTGTGCCTGTAATTCCAAAATGTTTGAAGAGGGTGATGATATCGTGTGTTAGATCTTGTCCCGTAGGGAGAAATGGGTTAGTTAATTCCATGCTAGTGACTGGTGTCGTGGACCACCATCTGTTTTGAAGTTCTTGTAGTCTTATTCTAGTGATCTGGCCTATTGTGTATAGATCGTTGATTCTTTTATACCAGTTGTTTGAGTGCATTAAGATTTGTCTTTCCCATATGTTGAAGATGCCATACTCTAAAGGATTGTAAAGGATCGAATTGGGTGCTGTCTTTGCTACGCCGATTTTATGTTTGTATATTGTGTTTAGAGGTTTCATGAGGTTGTTGCATTGTGTTTCTGAGAGTACGGTGTCTGAAAGTAGATATGTGATGGCTGGTATTAGAACTTGATTATGTATGTATCTAATTTGTTTATCTGTGGTGACTTTCCACTTGATGGTATTTGTGAATTTGTTGACTTTTTCTTTGATCAAGTGTTTTTGGAAGCTCTTTTTCCCACTGCCTTCAATATAAACACCTAAGATTCGTGCTGCTTGGTTTGGTTTGAGGGCTGTAACTACTTGGTCTTGTATGGTAATGATATTATTGTGATGTTTCTTGTTCTTATTTAAAATTGTGAGGTTGGACTTGGTTCCGTTTATATTGATGTTGTTAATTTTGTAGAAGTTTGTGCGTGTGTCACAAATCTTTTATAATTCTTGTTGGTTTTGAGCGATAAGTGTTGTGTCATCCATGTATGCTATGGTCGATACATGTTGAACCGTTTTTTTTGGTAGTGATAATGGGTCTTCCTATTGATTTGCTGTGAGTGTGTAGCCTGTGTAGTTCTTGCTTAGGTTTGATATAAGTGGGTCATAGAAGATTCTCCAAAGGATGGGTGAGATTGTATCCCCTTGATCTAATCCGTCTTCCATTGTATAGTTGGGTGATGGTCCGAAAGGTGTTAAAACATGGTTTTCTCTATGGTCGCAGATGTTTAGTATTATATTGATAAATTTGCTTGGGCATTTAATTCGTAGGAGAGCGTGTTTCAGTCTTTGAATGCTGACCGAATCATATGCTTTAGCCATGTCTAAGCTTAAGATATATACTGTTTTTGAGTTTTGTTTGCTGTCATCGATGATTGATTGTAGTATTTGAATTGGTGTTTGTGTGTTGCTCCCTGGCAAAGCTGCCCAGTTGTGTTGTGAAAGAATAACGTTTTTGTTTAAGATTGTTGACAGTCTATCCATGAGGATTTTGGTGAATATTTTCCTTGTTGATTTGAGCAGAGTGATCGGTCTTGTTACGTTGATATTGTTTTCCCATGGTTTTGGCTTGGGTATCGGATATATGCTTCCCTGTTTCCATTCTGTTGGGATTTCTTTTGTCTCCAGAATGGTGTTAAAGAGATCTGCGACGAAGGTTATGGTTTTTGATGATAGTTTTTTGAGTGCTGTGTAAGGAATTCCGGAAGGGCCTGGTGCTGACTTTGATGATCTTGTTTTTATTGCTTTCAGAATTTCTTCTGATGTGATTGTGCTTGTGAGGTCCCTGTACCAGTTCTTGTTTATTGATTTTTGTGGTTTGTATTCTTTCTCCCAGATGGTGTTCTTGATGTCTTGGATGTCACGTTTTTTGTTCCATTCTTGGTAGTGTTTGCTTACTCGTTCTTTTATTTTTTGTGGATCTGTTATTATTTCTTCTTCTGGGTCTGTTGAGATTAGTTTGTCTAGAATTATATGTTTTTTGGGGTTATCGAGTAGGTTCCTAATCATTTGTTTTTTGTTTGTAGAGAAAAAAATTTGTCTCTATGTGATGCGTTCTTGAATTGCCTCAATTTGTTTGTTGGTGTATATTGCTTTCAGAGTTTTTTTGTGAGTGTTTTGGATGTTGGTGAGTTTATCCATCCAAAGTGTGATTTGTTTGTGGTCAT